AGTCACGATGCTGATGATGCTGAGTGACAGAGATGGTGACACTCCCCATCCCCTCCTCTCCAGCCACCCAGTGTCCGCCCCTCCTCGCTGGCCCATCTCCCCCAGGCTCTGCCATCAGGAGGGGCCTCGTCCCTTCTCACCGGGTTAGTTAACCCCACGAGCCACGTGTCAGAGGAGGGGCACACGGTGTCGGTCAGGGCTTCGTCCTGCTCAGCTCACACTGGGAAGGGAAGCTGCCAGGCCAGCGGTGACCAGCCTGTGGCTGTCTTTCGGTTTCTGGTTGCTGTGCTTATGATCCAGAATCAGGCTGATGTTCGTTCTCTGTCCTGACTCGTGAAAGGAGATCGAGTGTCATTTCTTTGTGAATATCTGCGCGAGACTTCCCTGTGCAGACTCAGGATTCTTGGACCCCCAGAGGAGGGAGGAACTGGGGGACCCTCTGGTCGAACCCCCTTCTGGGACAGTTGGCTAAACTGAGGCCTGTGGAGGGCACAGGATCCGTCAAGGTCACACGGCAAGCTGGTGGCAGTACAGGGGCCAGGACTCGCTCTCCTCACCTGCAGCCAATACTCCCTCGTCTCTGCCCGAGCCTGCGGGGGTCAAAGCCTCGGTGCAGGCCGCACCCAGAACTCCAAGTCTGGGACAGGCAAGGGAGGGACAAGTTGGAAGGGAAATTGTCCCTTTGGGCTGCTGTCACAAATCCCATGAACTGAGTGGCTTATCAACAGCAGAAACGCATTTCTCACAGTTCGGCCAGCTGGGAAGCCCACCATCAAGGCGCCGGCAGGTTCAGTGTCTGGTGAGGGTGGCCTCCCGGCTCAGACGGCGCCTGCTTGCTGTGTCCCCACATGGCTGAAGGGACCAGGGCACCCTCTGGGGTCTCTTCTGTAAGGGGTGGAGGTGGCTGTGAGGCTGTGGCTGTGGAGGCCGTGTCCTGGTGGGCTGACATGTCATCAGTGAGGTGTGAGGAAGAGGAGGGGGGACAGTGGCAGGGGCAGGTGCAAAGAAAGTTCCAGAGCCGCAAACAAATCAGCTGTCACATCCTTTCATCAAAACCGGGAAGCTGAACCAGCAGCAAGAACACAGTTCTGTGGCAAAGGCCTTTCCAACAAGTGACAGTTGGTGACTTTACACTGACAGTCACTGAGACCTATGAGCTCGTCACGGTTCGTACCAGGCTGCCGTGGCACTGGCTGAGGTCGGGCCGTTGGCGCCGGTCGGGACTGGGAAGGCCTCGCCCGCTGGGCACCGCGGAGCGGGAGGGCCCGTGTGCGGCCTGCCCCCGCCAGGCGCGAGTTGGCTGCTCTCCACCTGAGTCCGCGCCTCCTGCTACCGTCTCAATGTTTGCGTCCCCAAATCCACATGCTGAAACCTTATGCCCCGAGCTGATGGTGTCAGGAGGTGGGGCCCTTGGGAGGTGACCAGGACATGGAGATGGAGCCTCAGGAATGGGCTGAGTGCCATGGGACCCCTGCCCATGGACCAGGGAGGTCGGGTCCACCCTCATTGTTTCATGTAAGAATTGCCCCAAACCGCCCCCTCCGGGCAGGGTCATCTGGTCTTTTGTCTCGCCCCTCTGTGAGCACCAACTGCTCTCAGGATGAAGATCTGACATATGGCGGGTCTTCAAGGCCCCTGTGACCTGGCCATGTCCACCTCTCTGGCTTCCTCCTCGTCTTTGTCCCCTCGGTCACCAGTCTCCATCCACCAAGGTCTCCCTGCAGCCTCTCACACGCATGCTGCGCCTTTGCACGTGCTAGTCCCTTGGCCCCATGTTCCTTCTCCCTGACTTCCCCAGCATTGGTCTAGAGAACTCTTCTCTTTTATATCCCCACTGAGAGCCTCTCCTGCTCCTGACATGAGGGGACGTGAGCCCCACCATTAAGTAATAAAGTCTGACCTTAATTGCTTGATGTCCACCTTCCTCCTAGACTGCAATTTTCCTGAAGGCAGAAACTGTTTCTGGCTTGTCTGGCACTGCAACCTCAGTGTCAGCCCAGAGCCTGGCCCACAGCAGGTGCTCAGTTAAACATGTGCTGAGCAAACAAAGGAAAGAATGATGGAATGAATGAGTTACCTTTATTCGCTCCACCACTGACAATTTCCAGAGCTCTGCAGAGTTTGTATAGATTCCAATCTCCAAAGAGCAGTGTCCCCAGCCAGGGGACCCCCATGTCCCCTTCTCTCCCTCACACCTCCACCTGTAACACTCCAGCCCGTGATAGCACAGCCTCCACCGTCACGGCCTCAGGGCGCTGCAGGGAGCTCCTTCTCACATACAGAAGCACAGCTCCCTCCTGCCTGGGCCTCTGCAGCTGTCTAGGCTGGGAGAGCAGACATTCCTCCCCTGCACCCCTTCCCACTCACGTTGTCCTTTGGCAGAGAAAGGGGTCCAGCCTGGGATTTAGCGCAGAGCAAGTCACTTGCAAGGCGAGGGGGTGGAGTGTGAACTAGCATTAACTGAGCATTTAGTGTGTGTCAGGTGCCATTCTAAACCCAATAAAAGTTTTAAGTCCTTTAACCCTCTCAGAAACTTTATGGGGTGTAAGCCGCTATTTCCCCTTCCATAAATGGGGAAACCGAGGAACAGAGCAGTTAAGGAACCTGTCCACAGCCCCCCAGGTGGAAGTTGGCACCAGCGAGATCTGGAGCCGGGCTCTGGGCCGGGTTCCCTACCACCACGTTCCAGAGCCCCTTCGTGCCGCTCCCAACAGCGTCGCGAGGACGGGGGCAGGTGATTCTTTCTTGGGGAAAGGACAGCTGCTCCTGGGCCCGCAGGCATGTGCAAAGGCAGGGCTCAGCGCCTAGTGCTTGAGTCGAGGTAGGCCTAGTGCTAGCGCTTAGTGCTCCTCTACGGGGAGTCGAGGTGGGCCATGACACCCCAAGAGAGGAAGAGAGGAGCATTTGGGGGTGATGGGGGGTCCTAGGAGGGGGTGCTCAACACCAGAGGGGCAGGTCAGGGGCCAAAGAAGGGAGAGGCTGGCCAGAGAAATCTCCAGAGCCCCAGGTAGGGGCATCTGTCCTTTTTCTTGTGCTGTGACCCCATCATTGTGCCCTGACCTTCTGGAATGTCAGTGGCAGGCAACAGCCTCCTGTTTGTGGTCTTGCAGGAAGGGCAGGAGGCTGGCAGGGTTCCCAGGCCTGGGCGACATGGGACACAGAAAGGCCAGAGGCTGCAGGAGGCCAGGCAGGGAGCGGGTTTAGAGGATCTGGTGGGAGCTGGACTTAAGAGCGGCAGGCGCTAGGACACCGGCCACCCCAGATACCCTTAGCACCTGGGGTGTGGGACGGACTTCGCACTGCTCAGGGGGGCTGGCTGGGCCCCTCAGGAAGCCGACATGGGAGTCACGCCCTGTGTGTGCACAAGCTTCTCCCCTCCCTCGGCAGCCTCATCAGGAGGAGTGAGAATGGACCCCCCAGCTGCGGCTTTGTTCCCATCTATCTCCACTGAAATATTTGCCCAGCGAGTGAAAACACTTGCATTCATCAGAAACTTGGGAGCCCATGCGGATGTCCCCATTAATCTCTGTTCCAGTGCCCTGCAGAGCCCCGGGGGGCTGAGCTCAGCGGCTGGATGGGCCTTGGCCATTAGAGGGCAATCTTGCACCAGCAAAACGATGCTCTTCCAGGTTCGGGGGTGTACATTTTCTGGACCTTATCCACCCTACCGCCTGCCACCCCTGTCCCCACTGTGACCATGATTTTTCGGGGGACATCCCCACAGAGTCAGGGCCACTGGGGACAGGAAGATGGATTTGATGAGGCTTCACAAGCTACATTCCTTGTTATTTTTTTTTTTTTTGGCGATTATTTTTATAGAGGGGATGGATTCAATCCTGACACAGTCTACGAGCATGGGCCTTCTCGCTCAAGCTCTTACCAACCACGCATTGATCCATGGGTTTAAAGGTCTCACTCAGGACAAGCCAGAGACTAGGAGAAAGCATTTGCCAAACACATATCTGATAGAGAACCCTCAAAACTCAATGACAATGAAACAAAGACCCTATTATAAAAGATCTTCTTTGAGCAGACACTTCCCCAGTGAAGAGGGAGGGATGAGCAGGCAGGCCCTGAAAAGAGGCTCCACGTCATTGGTCACTGGGGAAATAAAACCACGGCCACATGCGCTTCACCCCCACGAGGACAGAAAATAGCTGACAGTGCCAAGGGCTGGTGAGGATGAGGGACCACTGGAACCCCCCTGAACTGCAGGGGCCGTTGCAAAGGCAAAGCAACGCTTTGGAAACCAGCTTGGCAGCTCCTTAGAAAGTTTAACATACACCGCCATAGGGTCTGGTCATCTACTCCGTAGTGTTTGCCCAAGAGAGAAGAAAACATATGTCTATGCAAACATTTGTGCACGAATGTTCATTGCAGCTATTTGTAATAGCCATAAACTGGAGATGATCCAACTACCCATCCACAGGTGAATGGGAAAGCAAAATGTGATACATCCATGCAATGAAATATGATATATCCTTTGCATTCCTTCAGCAATGCAAAGGAATGAAATATTGATACACACCACATGGATGAATCTCAGTGCAATTTATGCTGGATGGAAGGAGCCAGACAAGCCATTGGACACACTGTACGATTCTATCAGAGAAGATTCTAGAAAATAAAAACTAATTGATGGCAACAGAAAGCAGAGTAATGTTTGCCTGGGGCAGAGGAAGGCGTGGAGGGGTGAGATGAGAGGAGGATTACCGAGGGGCAGGGGACATAGCTGGGGGTGATGGGTATGTTTATTGCCCGGACTGTGGTGGGGACTGCACGGGTACAAACACATGTCAGACTCCTCAGACTGATATGTTAAAAATATCCAGTTTATCATATGTCAATTATAACACAATAAAGCTGCTGAAAATTTTAGAAGGTCACTCCATTGCAGAGTCTCGAGAGCTTTGGAAGGTGAATGCGTCTTGCTCCGTGGCAAAGCGCATCATTTGCCCCAGGTCCTATGCCCTCCAGCTCAGCACCTTTGCCATGCGACTTTGCAGTACGGTGGGTGGGCAGCCTGTCCTACCTCTTGAAAGAAAACAGATGGCTTCCCCATAGGACCTGCTCTGGGCAGTGGAAATTGCAAGAGGTAACACCGCTGTGATGCGCTGGGGCTGGCTCTAGCGTCTCTCGACTGCCGTGCGAATGTTCCCGGACCAGCTTTCTGCAGGATGAGAGACACATGGAGCAGAACCAAGCTGTTCCCGTCGTCCCAGCCAAAGTCAGCCACATGGGCCAAGGTCAGCCTGCGCCAGCCAGCAACCGCGGAACCCCCCAGACATGTGACCGAGCCCAGCCAACATCAGCAGAACTGCCTGGCCAGCCTGCAGCTGACCCCCGAGCAGTGAGCCGTAACTAAATGAGCTTTGGCCTTAGCCAAGGAGGGGAGGTGCTCTGATTTCTGTAAGGCAGTCTTACTGCAGATAACTGATTCAGACCCCGTAAAAATGAGCAGTCTGGGAAGGCTTCGTGGAGGAAGTAACATGAGTTCGGTTTTAATGTTGTGTGTGTTCTGGCCAGGGGAAGAGGGGAGGGCAGGAGAGAAGGATGTGCACAACCCTGTAGGCAGAACTAAGTTCTCCCTGTAGGAGAGGAGTTTGGGGAGCCGGGCCAGTCACTGTGTTCAGAGCCAAGGGTGCCCCACGGAGGGGGATGGGATAGAGAGAGAGACCCCCCCATACCCTGAGGGGCTTAAACGCCAGGCTAAGACATTTTTAGGAAATAGGGAGCCACAGCAGGTTTCTGGTGACACAGGCCTTTTAGAGTGACCATTCACATGGCCGGGGGAGGGCAGATTGGAGCCAGCAAGCATGAGGCAGGGGCCACGGTGCAGGTGAGGATTGGCAGGCTGAACCCCGGCTGGGAGGGAGACCGGTGAGAGCCATGGGAGGGACAGTGACCCCAGTGAGTGCCCATGTGCCAGGTGCTTCCTTTACATTTTCCTCATTCCAGCCTCACCTTGGCCAGGCCTCAGATCCCTCGGCCTGGGTCAAATTCAACCCTCACTGTGGCCAATTAATTTCATCTGGCTATCAATTTGCAAAGATTTGCTAATCAATAAGGGTTGGGCAATATCTTTTAAGGCTCCAAGCACAGAAGGTGAAAAGAACTTCCCAGGATACTTGCAAGGTTATTGCATCGATAAGAACCCTGGCTTACCTCCTGCGGTGTCTAAATGCACTCCTTTATAATCAGTCCTCGTTTAATTGGCACTGCAGAGGGATGGCATGGGCAGGACACTGTGTGGCAGGGCGGAGGAAGGCGTGGTCGACATCAGTGCATAGCGCTTCCCAACAGCGTCTCCTTTAACTCCCACGAGCTTTCCAGGAGCTTTGTAGCCAGGAGAGGGTTGAAGTCACTGGACTGCTAACTTCTCTGTGTTTGTGGCTTCAGGCAATGCACAAAACCTCTCTGGGTTGCAGTTTCCTCTTCTTTAACACCGGGGTGATGATATCGACATCAAAAAGCACAAGCTAGTTCCTTCCTTTCAGGTCCACTGGGAGATGCTCTCCCTCCTGCCTTGTCCCCACATCAGCCTGAAGCCTCTGCAGACAAAAGGCCCTTTTCAGTCCCTCGGGCAGGAGAGAGGACCCTCCTGCCTCTTCCAGGCTCCCTGCGGCCCAATCAGAAGGCCCAGCTTGTAGAGGGAGCGGGAATAATGCCCTGTGTCAGAGTACTCGCCCGGAAGACTCAGCTCCTCTGCACACAAAAGAATCTCCAAAGATTTGTCATCACCTAATATTTATTCTGGAGACTGGAGCGTGCAGATAAGGTGAGCGTGTGATGCTAGGAGCGTGGAAAACATTCACAGTGTCTAAGCCACAAAGAGCCACACTTACACGGCACATGATGGGGTTTGCTGGGGAACCCAGGAAGAGGAAAAATCCACTCCCAGTTGATGGCATATTCTGATGGAAGTTTCTCCAGCAACAAAGGGTGAGTCATGAGACTGCCAACGCCTTAGAGCCTGGCAGTCATCAAAACCTAGAATGTTCTATCACCGACTCTCAGAATCTTGACTTTCATAGAATCTTAAACTATAGTCGGAACCTAAAGTCAGAAGTCAAAATCACAGGGTTTCAGGGACCTCAACCATCATTTTGCCCAGACGCTCAACCGACATCCAAGCCATTCAAACATGGGTGATTCGAAGCCTTCCAGAGAGCAGGAACAGCCAGTGCAAAGGCCCTGAGGCAGGAATGCGCTGGGTGTGTTTGAGGAAGAGCAAGCCTTTATTTGACCTCCCTGGGCTGGGAAGACCTTGAGACTTTGGGGCCCGTCAGGAATAAGAGAGGGGATGCTCCCCCAGGGGTAGGCAACTTGAGGGCAGGTGCTGGGCCCAGTTGGTGCTTAATAAGAGCCTGACTGTATTCAGTTCAGGACTCCACATGGCAGGAGGGACCCTGGCATTGGGAGGGAGGGCCGGGTGTGAGGGGCTGACTTGCAGGCAGGTCAGGGCAGGGCGGCTAACGGTCCCGGTCTCTCCACTGGAGAAGGGAAGGGGGCTTCCTGGGGCTGCTGGGTGAGGGTGGGGCTGCACGGGGAGGCCCCAGACCACAAAGAGGCGGATGTGGCCAAGGAGATGAGAGGGTTGCAGGGCCAGGCAGACCCGAACTCCAGGCCAGGCTCAGCCCCTGTGTGACCTGGGGCCTTGGCGGGCACAAGAGCACACAGGGTGGCCTGGCCCAGGGCTGCGGCTTGTTCGGGATTTGCTTCTGCAATTTGCGAACTGGCCAGAAGGTTGGGGCAACCCCAGTGTCCCGGGGCCACTTTTGCAGGACAGTGCTCACCTACCCATGGACGTTCTGGGAGGCGCAATTTGAATAAAATGGCAGGTTTCCTCATGGTCACACTGTAGAAACATGGGGGCGCTGAGGGTGAGGGGGAGCAGGGAGTTGGGGGGCAGGAGAGCCAGGTAGAGGGGCACCGGGGGCGTGTGTGTCTCTGGTGGATTCAGAGGACGCTGAGAATGAATTCCCGCCACTCACCGAGCGCCCGCTGTGTGCCTGGCCCCAAGCGACCTGGGAAGACAGCTGGTTTCGGGACAGACGTGGTCCCCACCTCCGGGGGGGCTGCAGCTCAGGTGAAGAAGATGGGGAATCCCCCAAATAAACAAACAAGGGAAATAAGGGTAGAATGAGAGGCACGGGCCATAAACAAAACCAACAAGGGCCAAGACAGGATTTTGCCTCCTCAGTCAATCCTCTGAACCGTCCCGTATTTAGCACGTGTCCCGTGATGAGCTCATTTTACAGCTGAGAAAACTGAGGCCCAGGGAGGTGGGTGACCTGCTCCAGGCACACGGATGGACACAGCAGAGCCAGGACCCAAGCCCGTGGCCAGCAGACAGGACACGTGGCTGGTCAGCCCGCCTCACCCTCTCCCTGGAAACAGGGTGTTCCAGTGGGTGGTGGGAACCCGCCGTCCACCACGGGGACCCCAGAGCAGGCGCTGCCCTGTGCCTCGGGGGACCTGGTCTGAATTGTGCCTCCCTCACATGCTCGCTGTGTGACTCCCAGCCTGTTCACTATATTTCCCTGTGCCTCAGTTTCCTCCTCTGACAATGGGAATGCCAACCTCTCCCTTGGCTGGCTATTGGCAGGTATCAAATAAGAGAAAGATGTAAAGTGGCCACGGTGAGTGTTAAAATTTTCTCTGGGAACATGGTAGGTGTTTTAAATGTGTCCCCCTTTTGAGAAGACCTTCAAAGGTCCCCTCTCTCACCGATGTCAGCTTTTCTTTCCTTGACCACACCTAGGGGTGGGAAGGGCATGCTGCCCAGAGCCGGGGGGTGCTAATGCCGTGCCGTGCAGGCTCGGTGAGATCACTGCACTTCGCTGACCTTCGGTTTCCTCTTCTGTAAAACTGGAACCTGGAAGACTGCTGTGAGGGCCGCCCATGGGGCTGGCATGGAGCGGCACTGAAATACGCCAGGCTGCTTCATTTGGTGAAAGGCGTTTGGTTCTCTCTTTTAAACTCAGATGCTTTTTTGGCTTCTAAATGTGCAGTGACTTGACTCTCTCCTCTGTCCCAGCCTTGCATTGGACCTTGAGTGAACCACTGAGCCTCCCTGACCCTCTGTCTCCTCGTCTGTAACACAGGAAAAATTATGCTTCCTCCTAAACCAGAATCCTTGGCAGGACCCAATAAACCTCACCAAGCACCCCAAAAGGGAAGACAGGATGAAGAATCCTGCCTGTCAAGCTGTGTGAGCTGTCCAGATTGAGATGCCTAGAAGGCTTCCCATTTGGAAGTAAACACAGGCTCCATTTAAGGACACAGGGAAGATTGGAACACTTCATTCCCAAACACATTTATGTAAAATTAATTGCATCACCTGTTCTCTGCATCTTTTAATTGCAAAACCAATTAACTTTAAAATGCTCAGCTTGTGGCCAAGGGAAGGGAGGGCAGAGCCCGGGCTGGCTTTGCAGAGCTTGCCTTTTGTGGTGGCCATGGTGGCCCTGGGCAGTCACGGTCACCTGCATCTGCTGGCAGAGGGGCCCCTGAGGGAGGCTGGGAGACTCTAGGGGAGGGACGAGACCCTCAGAGCTTGAGGCTGGCAGTCTCCAGCACACACGAGTGAGGGGCCACCACCCAGTGAAGGAGTGGACATTCCCCAGGGTGGCCAGAATGGCCCACGGTCAACTGCCCTCCACCCCTGCAGCCACCCCTACCCTGCTGTGTGCTTCCCCTGCCCCGCTCCTGACGTCATTGGCTGCGTCTATTGTCTTTCTCCTCAGGAAATGGCATCTCCGTGGCATCTGCTGTGTCTGCTGCTGTGTGTCTGGGGCCTAGAACAGTGCCTGGCACGCAGTAGGTGCTCAGTACAAATGGATGGGTGGGTGGATGGACGGACAAACTAATGGATTTCGGTGCATTGCAAGGAGGGGTTTTTGCAGAGTCCCTGCTGTTCTGGTGGACGGGCAGTTTCAAGGGGAAGCGTGTTCACTCCGCCCCTGCGAGTGTCCACCAGTGCTTGGGTGGAAGAAAGCCAGGCAGCGGTTAGGGAGATACGTTTGTTCTTGGCGCCCTTTGCCCAGCCCCACAGGCGCACCGCCCTCCTGTCTGCTCCGCCGGAGATTTTAGGTTCCTTCCTCTCGAGGGAAGGCAGGGATTTGCAGTCAGGCAAACGTTTCTCAACCAGCAGGCCAACAGCGTACTTCTTTGTAACTCCATTTTCCCATTTCCTGAGACTCTCGGGGCCGTGGAGAATGGGGCGAGACGCTTTGTGAAGGAGGACCGTGCACACCCCCGTCCGCTGACGGTCCCCTGCTCCCAGAGGCTGTGGACCCACACGGCGCGGCTGACAGCTTCGAGCAGGGGTCTGGCTACACGCCCTGCCTTTGGCTGGAGACACAGAGAGTGGAGAGTACCGGGGGGTGGAGGGGTTTGGAGGTGGCCAGACCTGGGATCGAGTCCTGTCTCAGCTGTGTGGCCCTCGGCAAGTCACTTACCTTCCCCTCTGTGCCTTGTTTTCTTCATCTGTCAAATGGAGGCTGGACGGCTTCCTGGAGAGGTGAGATGAGCTGATGAAGGCAAAGCCAGGCACACAGTGAGTGCTCAGCAAGGAGGCTGTCACCGTCACATCCTCCTCCTCCTCATCTGATCTTTCTCTGCACGCACTGAACTATTATGTAATCGGGACCATCCTCTACATTCAGTTCTCCTCGCTCACCCTCATACACACCATCGGCGCTTTCCCGCACCTTTGCAAATTCCTCAAAAGCATGATGCTAATGGCTGCGCAATCGCACCTCATTTAGATGTTCAGTAATTTACCTCCCCAGCCTCCACTGTCAGACTCAGAGGATTGTGGGGTTGCTCTCACACACGCCAGGCTGCGGGGACGTGGGGGGAACTGGCTACCTGAGTCCCTGACTTCCTGGGGACGGAGCCCTGCGGGTGGGGGCAGGGCAGCAAGAGCAGTGACTTTCTCAGGCTCCAGGTCTTTACCGCCCAGTCGCTTCCCTGGAGTCGCCTGGCTGGCACCCCCAGCAGCCCATGAGGGGCCTGTCTCCCGCCAGAGCCCTGGCCCGTGTCTCCCAGCAACAGGATCATCAGATCTGACCCGTGTGGGTGCAGGAAGCCTCACCCAGGATGAGCAGCAGGTGGGGCGGGCGGCCCAGGCAGCAGTCGGGGAGCTGGTCCCGTCCCAGCTGCCCCTGTGCTCTGACCACCCCCGTGCAGGGTCATAACTGCTCCAGGAAGGCCCCAGCTGCCTAAGGGACCAGGAGCCTCACAGGGCAGGGGTTCACTCCTCAGACGCTGGGTCCGAGTCCTTGTGGGCTGGGCTAGCTTGCACCAGTGAATTAACTATTTTAGAGAGGGAAATGGGGTCACAGTGTCCAATCAGGCCAGAGTCCACCCAGGAGGACCCAGGCTTACTGTGAAGCTGGGGTTGGCCTCTTTGCCCCCAGAGACTCTGCAGCTCAGAGCTGGGCAGCCAGCGCCTCCCTCTGCAGAGACCCACACCCCCCTCAGCGGTGCCCACCTGGGGCCTTTGCCCTCCCACCCTCCTGCTGGGGCCTCCCCTCCCCTCCCCCGCTATGCAGCTCCCTGGCCCAGGCGCAGCCCTCAGCACAGCTGTGTCTCCCCGCCTGGCGCTCGCCTGTCCTGTCTCCCTGCTGGCACTGAGCTCCGTGGCCACAGGGATTGGCTGTGTCTGCTGGTCACAGCTGTCTCTGGTGCAGGGTGGACACTCAGGGCACTTGGTACATCTGGTGAAGGAACAAGGCAGGGATGACTTCCTTCAACTTGGGTGGGCGACGAAGGAGAGGGGGCTTCTTAGGGCTTCTTAGGACTTTTCTGGGATGGAAAACCCAGGCAGGAGCTGGGATGGGGTGGGCAATGAACTCCATGAACCCCGAGGTCCCTGGGCCAAGTCAGCAGGAGCGAGGCTGCCCTGGCCTCCCTTCTCCCTCCACTTCAAGGGGCCCGGCCTCCCCCTTGCCTTGCTCTGCCTGAGAGATAGGGCAGACACCCCTTCCTCTGGAGAGGTGAAGCCCCATTTGCGAGTGTGAGCTGCCTGCCATGTTCCAACACCATTTATGGTTTGAGATGTCCTGATCCCTCTGATTCGGTGAAACATACGTGATTTGACACTTGGAAGAACACATCGCAGGGCTTCCTCGGGGAAAGACACTGTGCCTGCTGCTGCCCCTCCCCTGTCTCGGACTCCCGTCCCCCAGGCACACCCTCTCACCTCCATGCTCACTCACTGAGCCGCTGCTGCAGACCCCCTGCTGGGGCAGCTGGGGCAGGGTGGTGGACGCGCCTGCAGCCAGGGACAGCAGATGCATCACGGCCCTCAGAGCCAGCTGGGGGAGGGAAGGGGGTGGGCTGCACCAGGAAGGAGGGGGCACAAGAGGCCTGAGATGCAGAGGTGGAGATGGAGCCATCATGGGCCCTCCCGCGGGGCGGCTGCAGGTGTGCACAGTGGGCAGTCCTGTCTCCTCATCCCTCTGCTGCGACCGGCTGTGCACATCACCTTGGGAGGTCACCCGAGAGTGGGGTGGGGGTCTAGGCCTTCCATCCTGCACCCTGTGTAAGTGCTGCCCCTCAATGTCTCAGTGTCTCCATCTGTACAATGGGAGGCTTGCGCAGCTCAGGGGCTCCCAGCCTTGGCTGTGCATTAGAACTCCCTGGAATAGAGACTTTTAAAAATGCAGCTGAGTCCCAAGTCCAGAGGCTTTAACTCTGTCAGCCTGTGGCACCCTGGCTGACAGCCAGAGTTCTGGAGTCCGGCAGCCCTGGGCTCCTATACCCAGTCAGCCTCTCACCAGCTGGTGACCTTGGGCAAGTGCCTGCACCTCTCTGAGCTTCTCCTCTGGGGACTGAGGGTGGTCGCGGTACCTGCTGCTCAGGGACATGGGTGGATGTGTTGGGCTGGTGACTGCACAGTGCTCGCCCAGAGCTGGGCACACAGAGGGGCCCAGTCACTGTCAGAGACCGTCATCGGGGCCCTGGTGATGTGGACTCGGCTGGAGTTCCCATCCTGGGAGGCCGCGTCTGTGCCTCTCGGGAACCGCACAGGGCCTGTCTGCGCACCCGCTCCGGTGGCTGGTCCTGCCCTGTTTCCTTCCACAGGGTCTGCGGCTCTGCCTGTTCACCCCGCCTAATCAATCTCCCTTTTCTTCTCCCACTTAATAAACAGCTTCACTTTAAAAGCCATCTGGGAGGATGGATGGCACAAGGCACATTTTGCAGAATAAGTTTTCAGAGAAAAAAGCTGAGGAGATAAAGGCACAGCACTTACGATTCCAGTCTCATTAGGCCCCGTAACTCTGGGCATTGAGAACTGTGTTCCTGTGTTGTACGCTCCCTGCCCCCGCCGACCTGGCTTCCCAACGCCCGGCTCTGTCACCGCTTGTCTGCGAGTGGCCCACTCTGGTAGCT